AAGAAAGGTGACAACTCTGTCTTGAAGAACTACAGACCGATTTCCCTTCTGAGCCGCGTCTACGTGCTGTTTTCGAGAGCCATTACGAATCGTCTCGCACGCAGACTTGACAACATCTAGCCTTCCGAACAAGCCGATTTCCAAAAAGGCTTCAGTACCATAGACCACATACATATATTGCGGCAGATTGTACATAATACCGAAGAGTACAATCTGTCACACTGCCTGGCGTACGTGGACTATGAGAAAGCCTTTGAGTCCGTCGAAATTTGGGCGGTGCTACAGTTCCTTCAGCGGTGTCAAGTTGACTGTCGGTATATCGAAGTGTTGAAGTGTTTTTTGTACAGTAGGTCTGTGATGGCTATCCGAGTACAGAACCAGAATACGATACCTATCCAACTGCAGAGAGGTGTGAGACAGGGTGACGTTATATCCCCGAAACTCTTAACCGCTGCATTGGAAGACGTTTTCAAGCTACTGGACTGGAAAGGATACGATATTAACATCAATGGCGAGTACATCACTCACCTTGGATTTGCCGACGACATAGTCCTTATGGCAGAATCGCTGGAGGACTTAAGCACTATGCTCAATGACTTCAATGGTGTCTCCCAACGGATAGGTGTTAAGATGAACATGGACAAAACAAAGATCATGTTTAATGAATGGTGTTACATGGTCATTAATATAATAGCTTAGTGCTCCCAACAACTACCGGCCTATGCCGGTAGTTGTTGGGAGCACTATGCTCAAAATTGTTGACGAGTACGTTTACCTGGGACAAATAGTCCGACTAGGTAAGTCCAACTTCGACCGAGAGGTCAATCGACGGATTCAACTCGGCTGGGAAGCGTTCGGGAAATTACGAAACATCTTCTCGTCAGGTATACTTCAAACTCTGAGAACTAGATTTTTTTAAATTTATTTATAACATTATAGTAAATACATGAGTTAAATGTAATTAACTTGCAAAAACCGTGAGGTTTGTTCGCAAGTTACAGTCTTACACAATTAAAGGCAATAGTACATTCACATACATTATACAAACTCTGAATACAATCACCTAATTGATGGCTGCTTATAGACAGTAGCAATAATATTAAGTAAGTACGTACAATTTTTAAGTGATAAATTTCAAACCACCGTAATTGCAAATCACCGGCGTTCTGGACGGGCCGTATTGACAGAAAAAAACGGTTTCTGTGAGCCCACGAGTGTGAGCGTGACAATTAGATCGTTCTTACTGGTGATTGGTGCAAAAACTGTGAGTTGATCTTTTTTATTATTATTTATAGTTTTTCATTGTTGATTTGTTTTTATTTTAGTTGCATTTATACATATTTCATCTACTAACATAAGAGATATATGTACATATATTTATAAAAATTAGAACAATTAATTGATGATTTTGTAAGTATATATAATTTTGTATTTAATATTTTATTAATATTTATTTACTCTCGTTGCAGCTGTTCATAGAAATATTTTTTTGTTTTTGTATATATAATTTGTTTTTGTAGTTATCTTCATTGATATCTGAGAGTATCGTGGGGGTATTTGGTTCATTAAAGTAGGAATTAAATATCTATTTGTACGTTTACCATAGTAGTTATATATTTTAGGTGTTACGAGTTTATTTTGAGTAACTTTTCTTGTTATAGTTTTATGGTTAGTTTTAACTTGCACTTTTTTATTGTGAAATTGTTCTATTAGTATTAGCATCTGAAATTTGGTGTGTATCGGTAATAATTTGCAAAATTTAAATATTATTGTTTTCACTTTCTTAGGTATAATTATTTACAATATTCTGATTTGTAGGTTATATATTTTATCTAGGTAAGTTTTAAATGTTTTTCTATAACTTGTAATGCCATAAGAAATAAGAGACTCACCATGATCGTTATACAGATTTATAAGGATGGGAAATGGCATTTTGGTAGGAAATTGCACTTTGCTAGCATAGCCCGTAGCTTGTTACATACATGCACAACCTGTTTACCCCAATTGAATCTTTCATCCATAATCAGACCTAGGTATTTATAAGTAGTAACTTGTTCTAGAGGATTACAATTACAGTTAGTATTTAATTTAGATGAACTATGAAGGCAGTCGTGGCTGTTTGCTAATATTTTATTGGTCTTTTGTATTTGTTAGAATTCATCGAGCGTACATGTATAATTTTAGTTTTACCAGAATTTAATACGAGTCCCGCGTCATGTAAATACATACAGAGGTTAGTAAAGTCAAGTTGTAACATTTTTTCTGCTTTTGATATGTCTTTGTTGGCTATTACTAGGCAAGTATCATCTGCATATTGATACACTGAACTATGTTAAATCACATTCCCCATGTCTTTTGAAAAGGCCAGATAGTGTAAAGGACCAAGAACCGATCCCTAAGCTGTCCCCGTAGTTACAGGTATTTCATCACTGTAATCATTTTCAATTCTCACCCGGTGTTTTCTATCTTTGAGGTAATTTTCACACCACCTGAGTAAAGGCCCGCGTATACCTTTATTTTCCAATTTTTTATTAATAAATCATGTTTAAGAGTATCAAATGTTTTGCTGTAGTCAATAAATAAAAGAATTATGTTTTGTTTGTTGTCTAAATAAGTATTAATTGCATCAGTAAATTTTGATAACAAATAAGTAGTTGAATTATTTTTTTGAAAGCCAAACTGAGTGCTTGACAAAACGTCATTCGATATATAACATTTATGTATCTGACTACATATATATTTTTCAACTATTTTATCAATTACAGGAAGTATTGTAATTTTCATAATCACAGTGCGACCCCTTTTTGTAGATGGGTCTTACTATTCCTACCTTTAATTCTGAGGGATAAATACCAGAATCAACAATAGTATTAATCAACTTTGCAATTGCTGTTGTGATTTTTTCACATAAGGATTTTATGTCTATACAGCGGAATCTGGTCTGCTCCAGCGGATTTGTTTCGTGTTCAATTTCTAGATTATTTTATTTATGCTCCTGCTATCTGCTGCTTTAAACCGCATTGAACTATTCTGAGGAGATATGTACTCTGCTTGATCTAAAAGGTTTAGTTTACAGTTGGGTAGTATTTTTTCAACATTTTTGACAAAATCTTTACCAAAATTATTTACCAATTGTTTAGCTGTTTATTTGTTTTTGAAAAGCCTTTAATATCTCCGCATCTAATGATTTATTTACTCTGCCTGTGATGGAATTCAGAATATTCCATAGCTTCCTTGGGTTATTTTTGTTAATATTTATTTCGTGATAATAGTATTTGTTTCGAGATATTTCAATAAGTTTTTGTGCATTATTCCTAATTTTATTAATCTAGTCTTAATATTTTATCGTTTGTATCCTTTTTCCACTTGTTATACAGGTAGTCTCTTTTTTCGCAGTAAAATTTTATCTTATTATTTATCCATCTTTCATAATTTCTTTTACTATTTAAGCTATTCTTTGTAGTGTATTTAAAATTATTATAACAATATTCAAAGCTATTTTGAATAAAGTTATATATCTCTAACGGACACTGCATATTATCAATATTATTCCACTCGAAGTTTTCAAGAAGTGATATTAATTTTTGTTATTAATTAATTGTTTGATTTTTGACTCAGTCTGTACGCTGCTACTGGTAGCCTCGGTAACGGCGCATAATAGCACGCTCATGCGGTGATCTGCCAGTACTGTTTCAAGCGAAGCTCGCGCGCGCGCGATCTCGCGAATATGTGGTCAATATAACTCCGCGTGATTTTTTCATTTCGAATATCTATTCTTGTAAAATCAGAAATCGCTCTCGTCAGACCACACTCGGCCAAGCAGTTTGAGTAATAATCATGAATGTTATTTTTTGATTCCAGGTCGATATTTCTGTCTCCGATTATGTACAAGTCAGAGTGTTTGATTATATTGTGACATAGTACTTTAAGTTCATTAATAAAAAGATGCTTGCTTTCATTAGGCGGTCGATATAATGCGCAAATGTGAGTCGTGTAGCGGTGGCAATATTGGATGTTTACAATTAATGATTCATGACGACGATGGGTTATTTTTAAGTTGTTTACTACTTTAAAACTGTGACGATGTTAATGTACATTATAATACCACAACCACGTCGCTGCTCACGAAGCTCACTGCATATTTCATAATCGTATATAGAAAATAATTGAGAAAGATTGCTACTTATTGAAATTCCTACTTCACTTAGTATATTGACGTCAAAAGCTATTGGCGATTGGTTTATTGTTAGCATAATGCACTAAAGTTGTTGATAATAGATCTAATATTTATATGTACAATATTAAAAAGATTTGTATGTTTAGGTAGATAGGTACTAAATTCACATAAATTTACCGAATCATAAATTTCAGTTACTTCCAAAGTAGGTACTTAGTGCCTAGTGCGTAAAATTTCTACTACCGACTTACAATATGCTCCACCGCCATTTTGTCAATGTCACTTAGGTTTCGGATGACCACAAGCTTATCGTTATAATTCTTACGAACTAAAATTCTACCGCCCTGGAACAATATATATTTATAAGTAACCTTAAGTTTTTGCTTAGCTTGCCACAAGAGGGTTTTATTTGCACTGGATAAGGCACGTCGTATCATTATCTTTATTCTTGCTATGGCAGGATCTGGACAGGAAACAATGTCCTCTGCAAGTGTAGTTACTTTTCTTGCTGCTTTTATCCAATGATCTACTTGTTTCTCCTGTTTCAAAAATACCTGGATCACGCCCTCCTTTCCATTTTTCCCTTTCAATCTTTTAACTGTAGTTATTTCTATTTTCCAATATTTAACTTCGTTGCTAGCGTATTTAGGATAATTTCCGTATTTTCGTCTATTATTTCGGATACTCCTGCGACTTCAAATGTATTATTAAGCTGTTTTTGGTCAAGGTTTTTTCAGCTCTAGATATTTATTTTGGTTTGTTAAATACGTATTCTTGTTTTTCAGTTCTTTTATTTTTCCGCTAATCGTCACTAAAGTGTCCATTATTCCATCCATTTTTGACAACAAGAGCTGAGCGCTTCATTTACTGAGCCTATTTCTTTCTTTACTGCTTTTTTAACCTCGAAAGATATGTCGCTTAGTAACTTTTTCATCACGTTGGATCTGCTGTCAGTTCCCTGTGTTAATAATAGGTACTCGTCATCTTCCTCTTCCTCCTCTTGTATGATAAATGACCTTTGTATTGGAGTTTCACGGCGACAAACTTCGCAGGTCCATTCCAGATTCTCAGTGTTGCGCAGTGCTGCTAATTGCTTAGATGTTAGGCTGGTGTAGAACTGAGTAGCACGCACAGTTTTTGAGCATGTGTTGCACTCGAGAATAGCAGATTTCTTGGCTATTAGTTTGTCACAGTTGTCACACTTGGGCATTTTTGCATTGTTTTTATTATAATTTCAAAATAAGGGTAGAAATAAATAAAAAAACTTTGTAAACGTAAACACAATTCAGCTGTGTCGTACAACGTCACGAACGAGACTGAATTGTAATGAAAAAAGATTGTACAACCAGTGCGTGTTGCTAGTGAAGACTTACGGATCTGAGACGTGGTCCTTCACTGCAAGCCGTATGAGGATGCTCAAGGTCGCTCATCGAGCTATGGAGAGGGCTATGCTCGGGGTTTCTCTGCGTGATAAACTCAGAAATGAGGATATCCGCAGTAAAACCAGAGTGACCGACATAGCCCAAAGGATTAGTAAGCTGAAGTGGCAATGGGCTGACCATATAGCTCGAAGAACCGACAACCGTTGGGAAAAAAAGGTTCTCGAGTGGCAGCCTCGTACCGTTAGGCGTAGTGTAGGGAGACCCCCACTAGATGGAGTGACGACCTGGTAAGATATGCATGAAGTCGATGGATGGAGGTGGCTCAGGACCGTGCTTTGTGGTATTACTTAGGGGAGGCCTATGTTCAGCAGTGGACTTGTGAAGGCTGTAATGATGATGATGAATGATGATGTCTCAGTGCTTCATTCAAACGTAGATTATTGTTGACTTGATCCATCCTTTCATAAATATGCAATATATCCTCCGATAATGGAGCTTTATACTTCTCCCGTAGTTGAAGATGATGGGATTAACTGCAAGTGCATATCAATATTGCAAATAGTTCTCTTATTTGCAAAGGAGAGTGACACAGCACGGCCTCTTCCATTGTTTTATCCCCGTGGTTGTCATCTTCCAACAACCACAACTTTTCACACGCTTGTCGAAAAGTTTCAAGTTCTCGGCCGTCAACTGTTTTTAGATCCAAGAAGTTAGAGGGGCCCTGTACTACACTCAGCAGATAGTAACTACTGCACTATGTACTGCACTATGTAAATGCGCCCAAGAGCATCTCCTGACTTAACACCTGGCCTGCCGTCGACAGGTGTTCCTTGTAAACGACGTTTGCATTCTTTCGACGACACGTTCCATATATAGAAGCGGGGTACGTCAATATAAAGTAACGTTTTTGCAAATGCCTCATTTCGGCAAAGCAGGAAAAACGCAGTTAGTGTCATTCTCGGTGGGCCATTCTCTCTCAACAATTGTTTAATAAATATGTAAAAAGTATTCCAAAATATTTAAAAGAGTGTGCTCCATAGCCAAGATATTGTATTTGAGCAACAAAATAAAGACGGCTTCTAATAAAATTAAAATGACGTGGAGTATAATTAATAGTTAAATTGGTTAGGTCAACTCTCGCAATTCGAACCACCAGTTAAGTTTTAACAATAAATTAACTAAATCAGTACGTTGCAATGATTTTCGAGAAATATTTTACTGATATTCTTATTTTAGGTTCACCATCACTAAGTCACTGAATTCTTCTCCTGCCGTCGCCGAATCATTACTTAAATAAAATGTAAATGCGTGTACAAATAATTTTACATTTTATAAGGTGTCATCAAAAGATATTCTAAAATATTTTAAGACTATTAAGAATACCACCGAACCAAGATATTAAGAAAAACACCGATCCGGGATTTCCGTTAAAGTTATTGCGACTATAATAGATGCAATCAACCTCAACTTTCCCTTTTGTCGTATCCCCTCAGTTTCAAGGCACTCCCCTTGTTGCCTCAGCCAGTATCGGAATCCTCGGCGTCGACATATCGAGTGACGTGCAGTTTCGTTGTCAGTTGGAAGGGAAGGCGAAATTGGCCTCTAAAAAGCTTGGCGTGCTCAGCAGAGCGGTACAGTATTTCATGCCGGCACACCGCCTGCAACTTTACAAGGCGCAGGTTCGGCCGCACATGGAATACTGTTCCCATCTCTGGGCTGGGGCTCCCCAGTACCAGCTTCTTCCACTTGACCGCATCCAGCGCAGAGCGGCTCGAATCGTCGACGACCGAGTGCTTTCCGATCGGCTCGATTCACTGGCGCTGCGAAGAGATGTTGCATCTCTTTGCGTATTTCATCGCATCTATCACGGGGAGTGTTCTGAGGAATTGTTCGGATTAATCCCAGCCGCCAATTTTCGTGAACGCACTACACGTCAAACGTCCCGATACCATACACACCATCTGGATGCTTGGCGGTCCACCACTGTACGCTTCACAAGGAGTTTTCTTCCACGTACAACCTCTCTGTGGAATAGTTTACCACCGGCGATTTTTCCGGACCGATACGACCTGGGGACCTTCAAGAAAAGAGCTTACTCCTTTCTAAAGGGCCGGCAACGTACCCGCAATTCTCCTGGTGTTGCGGTTGATCATGGGCGGCGGTAGTCACTTAACATCAGGTGAGCCGCATGCTCGTTTGCCCCTTCTTCTATAAAAAAAATCTATTATTTTTAATACTAGTATCAAATCTGGTGTGTTTCCTGATTTAATGAAGCATAGTAAAGTGATACCTTAATATAAATCTGGTAGTAAATTGGACCCCGATAATTTTAGACCTATTTCGGTACTGCCAACACTTTTTGAAAATTTTTGAAAAAATTATTCTTGATCAAATGGTAAAATTTTTTAATGTAAATAATTTAATTCATAAAAATCTATTCGGTTTCACAAGGGGTCGCTCGACAACTGATGCTGGTGTTGAGCTTATTAAATATATCTTTAATGCATGGGAGAATTCACAGGATACTTTGGGTATATTCTGTGACCTATCCAAGGCCTTCAATTGTGTTCACCATGAAACATTAATCAGGAAACTTCAACACTACTGTTACGAGCTTGGGGTTCGTGACAATAAAAACTGCCGATTGAATTACCAAAATTTACACTTTTATTTCTGAACACCAATTAAAACTTAAAAGACACTAATATTTAGTCACACTGATACACTTTATTTTGCTCAGAAGCTTCGCTTGTATTGCTAATTCAATACTGCACCGATCGCGACTTGCAAGGGCTTTAAATAAGCCTTTTCCACCGTAACATCCAGAATGTTCCAGCAAATACCAGTCCCGACTGACTAAGTTCAGAAAGTTCGAGAGTAGACCCTTCTAGAAAGTTGATTTTTCTGTTCGATACTAGATGGCGCTGTTGGTGGAAAGTTCAAGATTGGCATTTTATAGGAAGCTCTCCTCGCTCTGTTCTTCAACATTAGATAGCGCTGGTGCCAGGTACCAGACATCGACTTAGGCGCGCAACACTACGGTGTAAGAAGTGATGCTCTTAAATTCATTATTTCATAGATAAGTGACAGAACGCAAAAAAATGTCATTAATAGTATGAGTTCTTCCCGGTCGATTGTACAAATTGGCGTGCCTCGGGGCTCAATTCTCGGCCCCTTTCTGTTTCTTGTATATATTAATGACTTACATAGTAGGGGATAATCATGATATAGTATTATATGCTGATGATACTTCATTAATTTTCAAATTAAAATGACAGTAATTAAATAACGACGAAGTAAATAATGCTGTAGCTAAGTTAGTCAATTGGTTTAATGTAAATAATTTTCATTTCAATGGAACTTAAAACAAAATATATGAAATTCGTAACTCCTAATGTCAAACATGTTAATACGAATATATATTTAAATGGGGAGGTACTGAGTCTTGTTGATACCACCATTTTTCTTGGAATCTCACTAGATGCAAAGCTTCAATGGCTCCCCTATATATCAAAACTAGCTACCAGACTTAGTTCTGCAGCATATGCTGTAACAGCTAGAGTAGTTTACTTTAGTTATTGCCATAGCATTATGTCGTATGGTATTTTGCTATGGAGACACGCGATTGACACTGAAATTATATTTACTTCACAGAAGAGGGCTATCAGAGTGATATATACTTTAAAAAAAGAGTCACTGAGACAAAAATTTAAGAAAATTAATATATTAACTCCGGCCTCTCAATAAATTTATGAAAATGTAATGTACGTACACAAGAATAAACGTAGTTTTGCAAAAATAAGTGATATTGATTCTGTTAATACTAGGAACAGACACAAGCTAGTAGTACCAGTTACTCGACTCCACCAAGTCAGTGATTCATTCTTGGGGCGATGTATACGCTTTTACAACAAAATCCTAGAAAATATACAAAATTTGACGTACACAATGTTCAAAAACTTTAAACTAAGTTTGTATGAAAAGGGTTATTATAATACTGTTGCGCGCCACAATTAAGTGCGGTATATGGCTGGTGATTATTAGTGCCATCTGGTATCAAGTAGCAGAAATAGGAATGTCAAGATGAAAATTTGTGATACGCAAAGTTCAAAAATTTTATTAAACTAAGTTTGTATAAAAAAGGTTATTATAATATTAAGGAATTTATGGATGATAATAACCCCTGGGAAGGGTGATCGCTACTAAGCTATTTCTAATTTGTTTCGTGTTATTAATCTACATTGAATAAAAAGTTTCCTTTTCCGTTTCTGTTTCTGTTTCAATGAAGTAAATCCGCTGACCATTGGGCAGATGAACCGCAAGGTGAGTGATTGTTGGGTGTCTCTCATGCAGAGGTAGACCCAAGATCCGCCACGCTGCTTCGTTACTGCTAATATAACGACCGGCTCGAAACGTTTGCACCTCATCTCTCGGGTCAATATTAACATTCCCTTGCTGCCTAATGTTAAAAATAGCCTGGTCGCTGCCTTTGTTTATATATTTACAAATATATTTTATCGCCTTTACTGTATTGCAGAACTCTACATTTATATAAGAATTATAAATTTTGGAGAATAAAATACATAAACATTCACGACTGTCACACAGAGGGGTAGGCAGAGACTACAGACTTCCGTTTGGCATGATCCTGACAGACCTCTCTCGCCTCCTTCACATCCATATACCTTCGCATACATGCTCGTCGGTTATGAGTAATCCTAATTTAGCCCGTTTTTAATAATTTTTTTATTAGAGAAAAGAGGAGAATATGGGACAATCCAGATTATGTCAAATAATACCTCCTGTGTTCCACCTCGTGTTTTTAAAGTTATCGTACGGTTGCCATTTCTATTTTTATATTTCTATTTCTACTTTTATAAGCTTGTGGTTTTCGTAATCAAGAGTCTCGTGAATCACAAATGCAGCTTTATCAAGTACCCCCCAAGCATTTCTTGTAAATATTAGTCGTCGCTGATGTGCCCTTTCAGCAACAGCGCGTCTGCAAGCTTGAGCATCTTCAACGATTTATGTAGCTCTTTGGGACGCCATGTAAGTCATTTGCTGAAGACGTCGGTTTTGAGACTGTTCAGGTGTCTCAGAAGCCCGTTGAGATGCCTGATATTCAGCTTTCTGTTGACGTCGATCTTGAGACTGTTCGGGTGTCTCCGCAGCCCGTTAAGATGATAGATACTCAGCATGCCGTCGACGTCGATCCTGGGATTGTTCTGGTGTCTCACCAGCCCGTTGAGATGCTTATTACTCAGCATGCTGTCGACGTCGATCTTGGGCGTCGACAGCATGCTGTTCTAGTGTCTCATCAGCCCGTTGAAATGCTAGATACTCAGTATTCTGTCGACGCCGAGCTTGGGACTGCTCTGGTGTCTCGGTAGCTCTATGAGCTGCCTCACGCTCTGCCTGTTCAAGCCTTCACAGTTCGGCTTGTGGAAACGTCTCGTTAAGTCTAGCTACTTTCATAGTTCAAGCTTTATTAGAGCTTTTAGAAAGATTAGATTACGCTTTCGCGGCATAAATCTTAGTACGTGCTTTTTCTACACTTCCAAAAAATATAGTACGGTAGTTATTATTATGTTTATAATACTTTGAAAATGCAATATTTGCCTATTTAATTAAAAGTATAGCTAAATAATAGGCAAAAACAATTGTCATTTGCTAATTAGAAAACAAAAACACGCATCCGTGAATCGATTAATATTCTTTTATTATAAATTTTACATTGTTATTGCTGTTATGTTATTTGCATTATCATAAATGAACTAAGACAACCAAAAAAGGACCAATTACTTACCTACAAACAACCTATGTAATGTAATTTAAACAAAAACGAAGTAATTCGTTATAATTAACAGGTAAGACATATTATCTATATTAATTAAAATAAAAATGAAGTAGGGAAACGGTATAGTCATTGGCCCCCATGCAGTTATTAGCCATTTCTACTTTGGTTCTAAAAATCTAGCAAGTTCGTTGTTAAATGTTATTTATTAATATTTATTTTGGCAACAAAGTTATTGACTCCCAAAAAGTTTCGTCAAAACGTCGGTAGGTGGAATTTGGTAATCGGGGATTCCTTTGCAACGGTACGCAATCAGGTAAATTTGTTACAACAAAGAGTAAACAATTTTTTTAAGTGATATTTTGATCATACTGATCATAGTTCAGTGTTCACAAATCTGTATAATATATAATATTTTAAGCACATTAAGCATGTTAAAACTGAAAAACATTAATATCTTAACATAACCTAAAAATATTGTGGCCAATTACTGTATCAATGGTTTTAAAAGTTTACAGTAATTGACCAGTAATGCCAATAACTATACTTATCCGATAATGAACAAATTATTTTTATTAAAAATAAATTTCCTTTATTTTTCGATATTCACCGCCCATTCTATTCTCATAAAATTTAAAGATATATTAATAGTTATTGGCCTAGGCCAAGTACTGTGTCACAAGTAATTCTAAACCATATAAAAAGTAGGCCAATTACTATAATATTAATTCATTTACTTTGAACAAATCACTACCTTTTTTCTAACAGATTAAATGATAAAGAATCATGCCAAAAATACTTCACTATTGGAAAGAAGCGCTAGATGAGGCTTTAGAAAAAAATCATAGTAAAACAGTGTCTTTGAGAGCTGTTAGAAAAAAAATTTACATTCCAAGAGCAACTTTACAATTTAAACTAAAAAACCCTACTTCTAAGTCTGGATTTGGTACAACACCCTTTTTAACAAAACAAGAAGAAAATTCCATTGAGGAATGGTTAATTAAAATGGCGCACAAAGGCTTCCCAAGAAAATCAGATGACGTACTAGATACCGTTCAGAAATTTTTGACTGAAAATCCAAGAGAAACTCCTTTCGTTAATAATAGGCCTGAACAGGGATGGCTGAAGGCTTTTTTAAAACGCCACCCCACCTTGACCCAAAAAACTAGCGAAGGAGTAACCAAAGCTAGTGCTTGTCTAGCTGAATGTGACATTAAGAAATGGTTTCAAGAAATAAGAAACTACCGCACTAGTGAAAACCTTTTAGATGTCGTTCAAGATCCTCGTTGGGTTTTTAATAACCGATGAGACAGGATACCAGACGTGCCCTTCAACTGGACGTGTCCTCGCTGCAAAAGGTGACAAAAATGTCTATGCTGTTGTAACGCTTCTCCCCTCTCTCATAATAATAAATATATAAAATACTAAATGTATTACATTCCCCTTTATATTAAAAATTATATATATGTGATCAGGATTAATAAAATATGTTTAGATCTTTATAAATGATCTTTCTAATGGTTTAATAATAGGCCGTTTGTAATATTTTTGGCGTGATCGTCTTAGTTAGGACCCTTATTTACGTTGTGTTTGTTTAGTAACTTAGTTCTTTTAGGTGTCTTTTGAAAGAATGAATATTCACTAGAGCAATTGAAAGCTGTTGGTAGTGCCTTATAAGTTAAGTGAACACCGTTCACGAAGACAGGGCTCGAGAAAGGTTAAGAACATAAAACGTTCCTATTCCACTTGTATCAGGTTTACATTATTAATTATCCCTTCCCGCTGGGAAAAGGCTCAAAATATATTTATACAAAATACCCGATACACGGGCTTCGCTCTCATACATTCATTTAAAAAAATGTAGGGGAAGCACACGGCCCAACACACGCTGTGCACGGTGAGCGCCAACCATTTTCATGCACTCCCCCCGAAGGGAACGCTAATTCGTGAACTGGACCGTAGTCCACAGCAAAATAACTGGTGAACCAGTATAAGAGGCTTGGCCCCTTGTTAGTGCGTAAGCACAAACATCGACCGAAGTCGCGCATGTCAATGCGTGTAAACGCCATACAGAATACGAACGAATCCAGCCACAGTGAATGTACGTCACACGGTTTAGGCAAATAGGCACACTGGCCGTAAACCCTCCAGCCACCACCTGCCAGACCGCCGCTCCTGCAGACATGAAGTAAGTGTATGACATCACCACCGATTGCATGATTAGCACGGCTACTAGCCGCAGAGCGTGTCATGAGTCTACCTCTCACCTCACCTCAAGGGAATGGGGTCCCACGTTGTGCGGCTTTCGGCCGCAGCCTTGAGAGTCTCCTCAGATCCTCCCGCCAGCTATCACCCGCATGGGGTCGACACATATGCTCCACCAACCAATACAACGGCAGATATAGCCAAAAGGCAGTTATAAGATAAGAGTAATAATTCGCCATCAGAAAGGGTTTGTGTCACTGACGTTGAGTAAATGCATTTTCGATCATGTTTGTCTCACCCACCAACAAGTTGCCTTCAATCATTCAAAGGTGGGAAAGTTATTATTATGTTGTTATATAAAATATCATGGAGGGCAAACAGTCTCCAGCCCCGTAATGAAGGAACCCGACTTGGGCAAAGCTACTTAGGTGTGAGTCAAACCAAGACGCAGAGAGCGCCATTGAGAATAGCGTCCCACCAAACAACCATCGCAAAGACGCAACGCTGCAGAACGCAACAAGCATCAATACGACTATCGTCGGGCTTACACCATTCCAAGGGCCCCCATGCATCCCAGCAGACATCACCACCTGCATACCTCCATCGACCAGAACCACAAGAGTGCGTCGAATCAGGCGCAGCACACCCGCAGATCCATCACAAGACGCAATACCGTAAGTAGCAGTAAGCATCAATGCAACTATCATACGGATGGCGCCCCCTCACAACACACCCACATGATCCCTATCGATTTTGTTAACAAAGTTTTTATTGTTGTTATATAAAAATATCACCAACGTATTAAAGTAGCATGCTACTAAGACGCCAATGAACAAAACTCCACGTATCATAGCGCTGATGCACTAAGACATGAAGTTGAGTATGCCTGTTACGATTAAAAGTGCTACCAAACACACTCATCATCCCAATCCGAAAGATAGACGACGCATCGCTGTGCGCTACGACGTCGCCTACAAACTTTATGGGTGTGCGATGTCCACGGGAAAGCCGTATTGCTACAACAAATCCGCTTACCACCGGCACTAAGATGTTATTTGTTTACCTCCATCGACCAGAACTACAAGAAAGCGTCGAATCAGGCGCAGCACACCCGCAGATCCATCACAAGACGCAATACCGCAAGTAGCAGTAAGCATCAATGCAACTATCATAAGGATGGCGCACCCTCACAACACACCCACATAACCCCTATCGAATTTAGTAACAAAGTTTTTATTGTTGTTATATAAAAAATATCACCAACGTATCATAGTAGTACGCTACTAAGACACCAATGAACAAAACTCCACGTATCATAGCGCTGATGCGCTAAGACATGAAGTTGAGTATGCCTGTTACATTTAAAAGTGCTACCAAACACACTCATCATCCCAATCCGAAAGATAGACGACGCATCGCTATACGCTACGACGTCGCCCACAAACGGTATGGGTGTGCGATGTCCACGGGAAAGCTGTATTGCTACAACAAACCCGCTTACCACCGGCACTAAGATATTTGTTATATAAAACTGCACCAACGTATCATAGTAGCACGCTACTAAGACGCCAGTGGACAAAACTCCACGTATCATAGCGCTAATGCACTAAGACATGAAGTTGAGTATGCCTGTTACACTTAAAAGTGCTACCAAACACACTCATCATCCCAATCCTAAAGATTGACGACGCATCGCTATGCGCTACGACGTCGCCCACAAACGGTATGGGTGTGCAATATCCAAGGGAAAGCCGTATTGCTACAACAAACCCGCTTACCACCGCCACTAAGATGATATATCTAGGACACATCGGTTAGCGAGTCCAAGTTTACCTAGGACCAATTGCTCGTGAAGCAGCATACACGCCACCATAATATTCCTTTTCAATTCCCTAATAAGGACTAGACATTTTGCTACAGTACTAGGAGCAGTCGGTCACCCGACCACTCCATACAATGCTTACGCATCAAGGAAACCTCCTATATTATTGCTTTTGTATTATAGACCTTACTTTCATAAGTCATGCATATATAGGTTTCGAACCCACGACCCTACTATTGTAATGCAAATTCATCATGGAGACCTTCTTTAGTATTGCTTTTGTATCATAGACATTACTTTCATAAGTCATTAATATATAGGGTTCGAACTCACGACCCTACTATTGTAATGCATATTAATCATAGAGACGTTCTATAGTATTGCTTTTTGTATCATAGACCTTACTTTCATAAGTCCTTAATATATAGGGTTGGAACTCACGACCCTACTATTGTAATGCATATTAATCATAGAGACCTTCTATAGTATTGCTTTTGTATCATTGAGTTTAATATCATAAGTCCCTAATATAGGACTAGTCATTGTGCTACAGTACTTCAGGCAGTCGGGCTCCCGACCACCCCATATATATATGTACAACTGCAGGTATGTATCTCCGGCAGCTCCTCTATACAAGACATCTATACATGAACACCTTCCATAACTTAGGAAACTTTTCTTTTATACGTGAAACCTTCCACAACTTAGGAAATTTCTTTTATACATGAACTCTTTCAACAATTTAGGAAAATTTTCTTTCATACATGAACTCCTTCCAAGACTTAGACAATTTTTAACAAAGTTTCTAATTATCTTATAAATGTTATTTATCTTTATTTTTATAATATTTTCGACTTGTATTTCTATTAATTATCTTATTTTATATATTTTTTCATGTTTTTAATAAATTTATTTATTATGGAAGACAATATTTTTCCTTTAATTTACGTTATTGTTCCAATGTCTGAAATGTATTTATATTAACTTTATGGTTATTAATGTAATTTTATTGTTTAATATATATCTTTTAAGACTATTTTTGACGCCCCTTTATATTGAATTTAATTATTAATAATAATATTGGGCCGTCACACTGTGCAGCAGGGAAACTCTAAGGAAAGCGTAACCGTTCTCTTTACTTTCTCTGCTGACGGCATAGCATTCCTTCCATTGATAGTATTTCCATATAAGAGGTTACCCAATAGGGTAGCATCTTCGGTGCCGCCAAAATGGGGTATCTCCGTGGTGATACTGGTACGGGGTGGATGACGGCGGACGTGTTCAATTAGTTTATAACGGAAATATTTGCTCCATATCTTACCGAACACAATATACCAAAACCAGTAATTTTATTTATTGATGGCTACAAGAGTCACATTACACTACAGCTTATCTTAACGTGCAAAGAGCTAGGCATAGAGTTGATTGCTCTGTACCCTAACACTACGCGTGTTACTCAACCTGCAGATGTGTCTGTTTTCGGACTAATAAAAATGATATATAGAAAAGAAGTAGCAAAATTTCAGGCACATAATATGGGCGAGGTAGCGAAAAAATTAAATATTGCCAACATTTTAAAATCTGTTGTAGAAGAGATAAAGCCCGATAACATAATTAGTGGCTTCAAAGCCTGTGGCTTGTACCCTTTTGATGAAAATGCTATAAATTACACCAAATATCTAGCAACAAATAATAAGGGAGAAGAATCCAAAGAAGAAAATAAAATGATATCTCATATAGACTTTGATAGTATTATAGGAGAGGAAATAATGAGCAAAATGAAAGTTCTACAATATCAGGGAGTAAATGTCAATTCTCCTACCTTGTACAAGCTTTGTTCTTTTTTTCAAGGTGATTTTCCACTGAAAGAATCAACAAATGTAGAAATACAATGTCCAATAAATACAACAACCAATGTGAATCTGAGCAACTAAGATAATGTGACAACAGTAAAACTCACCACGACTCCTACAAAAATATTGTTTTAGATTTTTCCACACCATCTACATCAAAGATAAGCCTAACTTTAACAAATAAATCAATGAATACTTACAAAAGCCCCCAATAAATAAAAGAAAATTTGTCAGGAAGACAGAAAAGAACCCTTATGTAATAACTTCCGAGTACTTTAGAGCCACTATTAAAAGAAGAGAAATTAAGAAACAACAAAAAGAGAATGACATAATTGAAAGGATAAGAAAAAGAGATAAGCAAGCAACCACTCAGAAACAAAACTCAATTGAAAAGAGAAAAAAAGGCAAAGGCGTGGGGAAGACATCCATAAATGAAACCATTAAAAATAAAACTGTAACTGTTACTCCTCTTAATGACATAGTGAAAAGTACTAGTAACGTTGAGACTGTAAATAAAAATGTTTTAAGTGAATCTACTAATAAAATAAAGATATTACACAACATGTTACTGATTACTTGTAATTCATGCAGACGTCTAGCACTAAAAAGTAAATCTTTTTTGTGTAGTTCATGCAAGAAATCGTATCATAATCAGTGCATTCCTATTAAGCACAGAGAGCATATCCCAGATGAATAAGATATTTTAGATTTTATATGTCATAACTCATAACTGTTATATAATGAATGATGACTCAGAGGATGAGGTCAATAATATGTATTAATTCAATGGGTGGAATTATACAAGAATCGTGTTATTAAAGTGTATGTGATTTTATATTTTGTTTTCTATGATTAATAGTAGGAGGGGGTAAAGCCAATAATATAATTATGATTCAGTTTGATACGTTACTAATTCTTAGTAGATGTGAGTGACCCGATGGCTTGCCTGGCAAAGCCTGGGTCCTGGCCTCGGAGGCTCTCAGGCCCCGACTGGAGGAGCTCCTAAGCGCATGCTTGGAGAGAGGCCAATTCCCGCTTCGTTGGAAGACGGGGAAGCTGGTCCTCATTCGGAAGCCGGGGCGCCCTGCGGACTCTCCGTCCGCATACCGGCCCGTGGTGCTGCTCGACGAGGTGGGCAAGCTCTTTGAAAGAGTCATTGCAAACCGCCTCGCCGAGCACCTTGCGGGGACGGGGCCGGATCTTGCGGAACACCAGTTTGGTTTCCGCAAGAGGCGCTCTACAGTGGACGCCATCATGCGCGTGAGAGCCCTCACGACGGGGGATGCAGTGGCCAGAGGGGGGGGTTGTCTTGGCGGTGTCTCTCGACATCGCCAACGCCTTCAACTCCATGCCCTAGAGCTCCATTAGGGAGGCACTCCGGTATCACCGGGTGCCGACCTATCTCCGTCGTATGGTCGGGGACTACCTGACGGACAGGGCCGTCTTCTACCCCGGTCGCAACGGTGAGTGGAACCGGCGAGAGATGTCGTGCGGTGTTCGGGTCCACGGGGTTCGGTTCTGGGGCCACCTTTGTGGAACATCGGTTACGACTGTGTGCTGCGCGCCGACCTCCCTACCGGCGTCAGCGTAGTTTGCTACGCTGACGATACGCTGGTACTGGCACAAGGGGGGTCGTACGAGGTGGCGGCGGAAAATATGACACGCGGGGTATATAGTCGTTGAGAGGATTTGGCAACTGGGTCTCGAGGTGGCTCTGCACAAGTCCGAGGCCATGCACTTCCATGGTCGTCGGAACAGGCCACCACCGGGATCCTCAGTGATGGTAGGAGGGGTATCCATCGGCGTCGAGTCGACGCTGAAGTACCTAGGACTCGTCCTCGACGGCCGATGGAACTTCGTTGAGCACTTCCGACGTTTGGCTCCCAAACGGGAACGGACCGGGGCTGCCTTCAGGCGGCTCCTGCCGAACCTGGGAGGGCCAAACGCCTCCTGCCGGAGGCTCTACGGGGGGATCGTGCGGTCCATGGCCCTTTACGGGGCCCCGGTGTGGGCGCGTGGTTTGGCGCGGCTTGCCGTCCACCACCTGAACGCGCCCCAAAGGGTGATAGCCGTGAAAATGGTTCGCGGCTACCGCACGATCTCCCGCGAGGCGGAGAGCCTCCTTGCCGGATTGCCGCCATGGGATCTGGAGGCGACAGTACTCGCGCGCCTGCACGAATGGCGTGCGGAGGCACAGTGCCGTGGGGAAACCCCGCTGCCGCAGCAAGTTGTCGCGCAGCGGACAGACTTCCGGCACGATCTCATGGCGACATGGAGACAGCGACTGTCGCAACCCCGTGCTGGGCACGCCACTATAGCGGCGATAAGACCCCTCTTTGAGAAGTTGCTTGAGAGACGCCACGGCATCCTCACCTTCCGACTGACGCAGGTCCTCACCGGACACGGTGTGTTTGGGAGGTTCCTGCACCGAATCGGGCAGGAGGAAACGCCCGGGTGCTCCCACTGCGAGGATAGACCGGAGGACACGGTGGAACACACCGTGGAGGTGTGCCCTGCTTGGGCGGAGCCCCGCCGTGTCCTCGTAGCGGCGATAGGCGGCGGCGACCTCTCGCGTCCGGCCCTGGTCGAAGCCATGGTCCGGAGCGAGACGGAATGGGATGCCGTCACCACCTTCTGCGAAGCAGCGATGCTAGCGAAGGAGGTGGCGGAGCGGGAGAAGAAGAGAGCAGCAGCTTTCCTCCCCGGCCGCCGCGGGAGACGCCCCGGGCGTCGGCGGCTACGTCGTGGCCCCCGACCACCGTAGGCGCGGGCCTGTGGACGGCGAGCAATGGGTAGCTCGTCGTCCGTCTGTCTAATGACGACAGGCCGTGTCGACGGCGCGTTTTGTTCCACGCACGCCTCAAAGAGCTGTCAGCAGCGTGAAGGGGCCCGCAAGGGCCGACGCCCGCCGGGGCTGCGGGCTGTTCGAAAGAGATACCGCGGCTCCGGAACGTAAGGGCACTGAAGGAACACGGATGGTTTTTAGTCAGTAAAAGTCTGACACTCCCTTACGCTCCACCCAGAGCGAAAGGGGTCATTAGATGATTTTCCATCCGCAAAAAAAAATAAAAAAAAGGGTCACAAAACGGTGCGGCCACAGGGTCCCGGGTTCGATTGTATCCTATGTATTATTCTGATGTATAACCTATATTATTGTAGTTTCATTAAAATCCATTCATATCAAACATATCAACACAACAAAAATCCATCCATCCATCCATCCATACTTACAAACTTTCGCGTTTATAATGTCCTATTAATATTATACTGTATTAACTTATACTGTATTAAACTGTACTATATTTAGGTACTGTAGTATATTTACGTTGTATTTGTAAGTATATGTAAGTATTACTTATCCTATAATCAAATAAACAAAAATAAAACAATTGTAATACAATTGAAATAAAAATAAAAAGTAATCTATATTTCTACTTAAATTATACTAATTATAAATAATAATTATGCCTACCTACGGTAATAAATAATAAATCTCTTCGAGGATCGAATTAGCTGTAAGAAAGGACGCAAACTGAACATAACCGTCAACGAAGTCTGCCCTCCGCGTCTATCCGCGTTCGGGTCGTGCACTTGGCGATCGCACGTCATTGCGTGGACCGCCCCTCCATCCCTGCTTTGCGCTGGTGCTCCATACATGTCAATCTTATCGTGATAACTTTTCTTCCAAATTACTTTGTGTAAAATAGAAAGTTCATTTACATTAAATATTTAAAGCGACTAATGTATCAATTTTGATAATAATTTGATAAATACTCTAAAATGTGTATTGTAAAAAGTATCAAAAGTAATTGTATTTATAGTTCACTATTTGTGAATATAACGGTTTCCACATAAAATGTAGATATATGCTGTCACGGACTTTTTTTTCGAACTACTTAAGACAAACAATCCCACGGTATATTATCTTCGTGTAACTTCAACGGTTTAGGCAGCGCACGCCAAGATAGCTCTCAGAGGGCAGGAATTTTTCCGACTTACTTGATACTTATCGTTATATTATGGCCTAGTTACATAAAATCTTTATAAATTGTGGCTTATGTATTATTCTGATGTATAAACCATATTACTGTAACATTTTATCTAAATCCGTTCTGTAGTTTTTACGTGAAAGAGTAACAAACATCCATCCATCCATACTTCCAAAATTTCGCGTTTATAATATTAGTAGAACTAATAAAATGATTAATTAATAGTATGAGCAACTGCAGATTCGAATTGCACTTATTTGTGGTGCCAACTTTTTTGTGGTGCATCCCGGTGACATCCCAAGATTTAAAAATCATGTAGGAAAATGTTATGTTCAGTTCTCAGGCAAGCCCAGAGAAAACGATTAACTGATAAAATAACACTTGTTTAGACAACCCTTCTGAGCCTGAGAATTTGCAAAGTTGCGGGACTGATCACCCTGTTGCTATGAAAGTTCTCAGACTACCACAAAATATTATCGAATTGTGTTTTATGAATTTTGCAAGATATGATAAAATAGGATACGATAAATTTATAACGTCCTTAGGTGGAAATTGTATTTATGTGCAAAAGCGGTCAGTTATTTTTCTAAATTTTCAATCGTTTTTAGCTGTGGAAGCGTTAGCGAGAGATTTAGAAAGTTCTTGTAAATAACTAAATATTTTAGAGCTATTAATAATTAAAAATAAATTTTATGAAGGTCATGTAAGGTTGCTTGCAAGTACAATTAAAAGATTAAGTCTAAGTAGACCGTGATTTTAATAGCTCAAGATGTGAAACGTATAACAAGTAATGATGAAAATAATGTCATTATAAATGACTTCCACTTATTACCTACCAATGGACATAGTGGAATAAATAGAATGCTAAAAAACATAAAAGAAATATTATTTTTGGCCAGGGCTGACAAGCGATGTTACTGATTACATAAAAGTATGAATTGTATCACATTAAGAAATACACTAATAAGTATATTAAAAAAAAACAATGACAATAACTACTATGCCGAATAATTTTTTTCAAAAGAATTAGTTTTAGGTATAATGGGGGCATTGGAAGTAGATGTTTTCGATAATAGGTGTTGACCCTACAGC